GGTAAAGGTGTGTGTCCCTACAGTGTGGAAGGGATAGAGAAATTTATCCAGGTAATACCATTGGAGGTGGAGGCAGAGGAGAGATTCATTTTTAGGCAGGCTTCCCACTCCTAACCTTGATTGCCTTCTCCTCCCCTTCCTCAAGTGCGTGTGGGACAGAAATAAATAACATCTAGTTCTCATATAGCACTTTGCATCTGAAGCTCTCAAAGGGCTTGGCAAAGACATTCACTACCATTAGCTACGCTTACAGAGGGAAACTGAGGCATGGAGAAAGGAAATGGGTAGAGCCAGGCCAATGTGCATATACACGCTTTATATCCACAGACCATGTGCGTGGATTGCGGTTGGATGTGGATACACATTTTGTAGCCAAGAGGGCTTCTAGAAATGACTGTCTGAAGGGCACTCAGCTTATAATTAAGGTCCTTCCACCATACCTGACCACAGGACATGCTGCCTCATGTAGCTACCCTCTGCCCCTTTCTGAGTTTGCTGGGACTGGTTGACTTTTTTTTCCACTAGATTTTTTTTTTGCTTGCATACTTTTTCTTTTCATTCAAAATTGCTCATGTAAATGGAGTACTTTGAAAGCTGCCAGATGGACAGCCACCAAGGGTGGTGCACTCTGACCCCCAGGGCAGGGACAAGCAATGACAGAGCAACGTTTGGGACACTGTTTTGCCTAACCCTGGACCTCGCCCGGTCACCTCTAATATTGAGACAGCTGCTCATCCTCCTCATCCAATCCACTCTGGGCTTTGCTGCTCATTCTTTCAAGCTTCCCAGGGAGGCAAACCTTTGAGGAATGAACATCTGTGGACTTGACTCTAGATGAAGCCCAGCAAACTCATGTTTACACACCCCTCTGAACCCTCATCCAATGGCAGCTTCTATTGGCCACTTCATAGTGTACACGCCGTGTCTGAGTGACAGACGTCACCCTCCAGGGGGATGGTCCACACAGAGAATAAGATACCCACTCCTTGGTCAGGGAGTCCTAGAGCTTAGGTGGCCTCAGTCTGTGTTTTCGCAAGCCATGTTTCTAGATCCATTTCTCCTTGAATGTGTGTGACATGGAGTGGTGGGTATGGCTCGTGGATTCATGAGAGCAGCCCTCAGCTGCAGCCAAAGTGATGAACCGAGAGGCACTGGGCAAAACCCATTACTTCCATTCTGAGTAAAACCAAAACATCCGCTCCCCCCCCCTCCACACAACTCATGACTTATTAGTAAAGTTTTTGTCAAAAATATTTTTAGTAAAAGGTCACGGCCATAAACAAAACTTCACAGAAACCTGTAGCCCTGCCCCAGCCTTTTACTAAAAATAAATGTGACAAAATGGGGGTGCGGTGGGGGAATGAAAGCTTGAACCCTCCTGTGGGGGGCAGGGAGGGTGGCAGCATCTGCCCTCACTGTGGATGGAAGCTCCAAATTCCCCCCTCACCCCTGCCATAGCTCCGAACTGTGGCTCCTCCTGTTCCCAGTTACGGTTATATTTAACTGGTTAACTGCTTAAACAGAGCCAGGCTGCTCCAGCCAGGCCCACAACCCAGCCAGGCCACTGGTTAACCAGTTATCCGGTTAACCATTGACATCCCCTAGTGAGGGCCCCTTTCACCTAAAACACCGGAAGGGACCCCTGCCACCCGAGATTCGGGGACTGCCTCCATCTGGAGCTCCAGGTGCCCCTGCTGCCCATGGTGGCTCAACGCTCCCGGTTCCCCCCAGCGCCATGGCAACAGCTTGGCGCTCTAGGGTCCCCATCTGCTGACAGCTCCAGCCCATGCCTGGGGCTGAAATGGGAAACGTCATGGAGGTCTCAAAGGCAGGGAATCTGGAACAGAATCGTATTCTTGTCTGCACTGGCCCCAGCGTGTAGGTTGCATGTAGCTACTCACCACTGAGGTGTGTGGCTACATGTGAACGGCTCTGTCAGGGGCCAGGCAGCAGAGAAAGGTTCCCACTGGCTCTCCTCTACCTGAGACTTTCCCTGCTGCTGGAGCCTTTTCCTGGGGCAGAGAAAGGCTCTAGTGGCAATGAGGCAATGGGCGACTGCACTGCTAATAATAGCAGCGGACATGGGAGACGCGGCTTGAGCATGCAGAGAGCCACGTGAAGTACGTGCTGTAAAGTTTTGGAGTATCTTACCTAACCCGTGCTTCATCCTCTTCACTGCTATTTGTACCACGGTGAGGAGCTATGCAGTGTACACATTGTCATAAATGTAGACATAGCCTCTGTCCGTGACCATGAGGGTTAGCCAGCATCCTGGGGACTAAGGGGTTAAATATGTCCCTTACCTAAACCAGGTGGCAGGCAGCCAATAGAAATGTAGGTAGGAATTTCAAACTGGGACAAAGGAATGTTTGGGTTTTTCCCTCCTTTGTCCTGCATAGTTTCTCTCCAGCTATTGAAGGGGCAGGATGTCTCCCTCTAAGAAAATACTCTTCACAGTCTGTAAGTAGGATAAAGTTTAGGTAAATCCATTAGGTTTTATTGTTTTATGGTTTAGGAAATGGGATCTGATGCCTGTGCATTTAAAAATGGGTTTTGCTCTCCTTTGTAGCTAAGCTCCTGGCCCATGGTAAATTTCTCCTCCATGAGTATATTATTTTGTTACTGTTCCATCTAGTCATTATGCTTGCAACAGGAATATTGTGGTGATAATAAAATTCTTTCTCTTTCCTTTTTATTAACCTGGTATTGGTTAATGGTTGTGTCCTAGTTTGTACTTTAGAGGTGAGTTTTCCCAAGTGATCTTTCCCCTGATTTTTGTACCAATACTTGGGTGTTGGCAGCAGAGATTTTAATCCCCAAAATCTAGGTTGTTAAGATTTTGGGGGGATGTTTTATACCAAAGCCTGGTAGATAAGGTTTTGAGGTACTTTTGCTGGCCCCCACTTCTGCATTTATCATGCCAGATTGGGGAAGGAGCCATGACAGCCTCAGATAGGAGACGCCTGCTGGGAATCACTTTTATTTACAAATAACTTGATTAACCTAGAATCATAGAATACTAAAACTGGAAGGGACCTCGAGAGGTCATCAAATCCAGTCCCCTGCCCTCATGGCAGGACTAAGCACCATCTATTCTACATCATCCTTGATAGATGTCTGTCCAACCTGCTCTTAAATATCTCCAGTGATGGAGATTCCACAGTCTCCCTAGTTTGTGTTGTGTTCATCTTCCCCATTTGCTTTTGTACTTAATTTAGAGTTCATCTGTTCCTGCTTATTTCCCACTTTGCAATCTTCCATGCTACCAGTTGTTTGCTGAAGAAATGATTAGGACATTTCAAACTCGGTGGACCGTAATTTCAAGTATACAATGATCAGATGTGACTTGAGATACAGAGAGCTTCTGGGAAATATTCCCATAAATTTGGATTAAAATAAATAAACCAATAACAAATTCCCATAGAAACAGGACATAAAAACCAGATTATTTCTAACAGGATGGTCTTAGAGACGGCAGATGTTGGCCTCTTTGTAGAAGAAATCTCATTTGGCCCTGCCTAGAGCAGGGGGCTGGACTTCTATGATTCATAATCAGAAGTTAATATACATTTGATTTTAAAGCTAGCTAGTAGATCCAAGTAGAAAGGGATTCCAGCAAGAATGCAATAGAGTCAACTCTAGTCCTTTAACACTTTAGTGTCATCAAGGACCGTGGACTACATTAATTGCAGATTGATACCTAGCCATTTGCTTCTCTAGGACAATGGCAGGCAGAAGTGAAATTCTGGTCCCATTGACGTGACTTGCAAAATGCCTGCTAAAAACCCAGGGCCAGGATTCATCCTTATGCTACCAGGCTACCCACAGCTCAGTGAGAAACCTATGTGACAGCAGTAAGATAATTTTGGGCCAGAGACTCAGTGGGAATGCATTCTTATAGATTCATTGAAGTTACGTAGCCCTTTCTAATCCACTGTCTAAAATATGGGGGTCCGGGAGAAATATTTCCTCATGATTTAAGAAATAAACATTTTTAATGAAAAAACAATGAAGAAAAAAGAAAAGACATCTGCCACCGAGGAGAAAGCATCCATTTAGCCTGGCATAAAAAGTCTTGGACAATTACCAGCCAAGGAACAAAATCTACCAGCATGATGCAGAAGAGTACAATCTGGCTAGGGTTTTTCATTAGTTTTACTTACCTGTTCAAAAAGTTAACTTGCTCCCAGAAAGGCAAACGTGCTATAAAACAACCTGGCCCCAAATCAAGAAACAGAAAATAATGACAAATGGATGGATGGACAAATGCAAATAGGTGAGTCTGTGGAACCCCCTCATGGGCACATCTGTGTTTTATACCTGTATCTACAGTTTTCAGATACCAACGCATGAAAGCTAGAAACCCCAGCTTGTCATGAATCAGAATTGAATGGAAACCAATCTAATCCTGGCTGGTAACAAGTGTATATTGTTACTCTTACAGGTGCTTAGTAGCCCTCAGTGAATGAATTGGTGGTCTCAGTCCAGTGGACGACTGTCCATCCCATTAGTAAAACACCACCACAATTAACAGTGAGAAAGGTGAAGGACCAAAAGCATATTTCATTCCCCCCTCAGCTTGCAATATGGGCTTTAAGGACAGAGGTCACCCATGAGGTGGGGGAAGTCAGCTTGGATTCCTGTGCCTCCTCAGAGGGACAGACATCTTTCACCTCCATGCCATCAATGGCTCACTAAAGTCACAAAGGGGCAAATCCCATTTGAGTCAACAGCAAAACTCCGAAATGACGTCAAAGGCAGCAGGATCCAGCTGAAAGTGGGGGAAGGAAAAAAAGAGGAAGGAAATGGAGCCAATCTTCTTGAACTGAGAATGTGGATGGGGGAGAACAACCCATCTCACTATCGCCGGGTTATTGGTTTTACAGGGAAAGGCAAGAGAGGCAAAAGGAATGACTTGGAATCCAAGTGCAGTTTTATAGACACTTAGATTGAGGATCAGCACAGGTTTGTCTTAAAAAAAAATCCATTCCTTCCATTTGTAAATTACTTTAATTTAAATATTTTGAGGTTAACAAAATGCCTTTTGAATCAGACATGCCCCCAAAATACAAAACAGAAACAGAACCTCCTCACAGAGGGTAACCTCCCCCCCGCCCCCTTTTTTTTTTCTACGCTGGCGTTTATGGACTGTAAGTTGGCTGTCCTCCAATGTCTGACACAATGCCTGGAGTGCTGAGAACAGCTGGAGTTCATTTTCTTCCTTCAAATCTACACACTCTCCTACGAAGCTGCGGTTTGGCATCTCTACCGAAGAGAGAGTTCAGTGCAACAGAAACGAACCCCAGCCGGGTTTCTTTCCTATCCAGTGCTCGCTGGGCAAAAGAAAATAAAAAGCCCTTCCCCTTCCCCCACACATACGTACACGACGGACTGTACCACACAAAGGGTCGTTCACGGCTGCTAGACATGGGTCACGTGGAGAAATGTTTGCAGATAAAACCAACACTTTAACCCCTTCCCCCATTTTTTAAGATAAACACCAAGATACTGGGGACTGTGGAGAGGCCTGGTCCTGGCTATTCCTGCCTCCTCGGCATGCTTGCAAGTCGCTCTGCACCGTGCACAAATCAGGCCAAGTGCTGGCAGTTTGGCCGCCGTTCAAGTATGTCAGCGAGTCCAATCTCCCCCCTCCCCCATCAAGTTCCTCAGTGTTAGGACCACTGTTAGAAGCGTTATGGTGTGGTACAGCATGTCTCGCTAGTGCTGGTTTAGTTCACATTCGGTCAGGCGGGGGTGCCCAGAGCCCCCTCCCACGTCACAAAATCACACACTGCAGTTTGTGAGAGCCGGTCGCTCTGTCTCCTCGCCATTTGGTCTTTTTCTTTTTCTTCTGGCTTTTCTCTGGGATCTGTTGCCTGTTTGGAGGAAAGAAAGAAGCAAAGCCAGTGAACCATCCATGCTGTTTAGGCTAGGGGTAGATAGACAGGTAACCTACAGCTCTAGGAATCAGTCAGAAGAGGGTGAAATGACTTTCCCCGCTCCCTGATCCCTCCGGCAGGTGAATCTCTCCTCTTCCCTCGTGCACAAGGAGGCACGGGGCCAAAACAGAGAAAGAACAAAGGGACATGAACTCTGTCAGTGAGAGTTTAAATATCTGTGCTGTTAAAGGAGCCAACATCCTGGCACAGCTTCTACGTATGGTGAGAGGGAGACGAGAGTTCAGGAACAAATTGTATTTCCTGGGCCTCCGGGCAGCAGGTGCTGCTTTTATCAAGGTCTCTTTCACTGTGTTGCTGGCCAATTTCTTAGCTTGCTAGAGCTCTGAGACAGGGACAGTATCTCCTGGGGCAGCACCTCACCCGTTGCAGGCCCCACTGGTATTCGATAATAGCAGTAATCACCATAGCACTGCCAACCACCCCATTAGAGTCAAGGAGCTGAAGTGAATGAAATTTGGAGTGAAGAACAGCCTTCCGTCGGAGGGGGTAGGAGGAGGGGAAGGCCTCTGGAGCAGCTGGTAAGGAAAAGGAAGGGAAATCGAGTGGCTACAGAAAAGGTGACAGCCGCAAAAGTGGGCGTGGGTTCCGTTGCCATGGCAGTGGATTGCATTGTCCCATTTTAGAGGAGCAAGGGACTGCAGAGAAACAGAAATCAGGGGAGAACTAAAGCCTGTTGCAGATTCATGCCGGGCTGGAATTTCCCCCAGGGCAAATGAATTGATCTGGAATCAATCAGCTTTTTTTTTTTTTTTTTTAACAACCCTGCTGCTCAAATGGGTTCTATCCTGTGCTGATACATACAACATTTTCCAAGCCGGGCAGAGTGGCTCAGAAGGAGAAAGTGTTCCGTGTCCTCGCCAGACAGCAGCCCCTCGGAAGACCCTCCAGACAGAAGGAATTCAAAGCAATCAGTAAGGCACAGCCGGGATTCCCTCCCCGCTGGATGTCCCTGCAGCCCTCAGTCACCTCCTTCTGCCAGTGTTGCAGGAGTCATCTCTTTAGTGCCACTACAGTTCCATTTGAGTTGCACCTCTGTGTTACTGAGGGCCTCCCAAGTTCTCTGGGTCACAAGCTAGTCAGCGTTACGTCTTTTAGAAAAGGGGACTGGCTGCTACACACAGGGCTGGATCATCAGCTGGTGTAAATGGGCATAGCTCATAGATCATTAGTTTCCCTAACACTAATGCGAGTGACACTAACCAGTTTAGTAGGGATGTGAGTGGGTAGCTGGTGCGGAAGTAGCTGGCCACAGTGGGTGGGGGGGGGGGCCCCCACCACTCAGCCCCCTTTAATCAGTTAACCAGTTAAATGTAATGTTTAACCAGTTAACTAATTAAATGGGATTTTACATCCCTACAGTTTACACCAGGTAAGATTGGCCCAGAGCTGCAGAATAAACAGGAGAAAGAAAGGTTGGGTAGTTAAATGCAGGACTTGGGGTTGATGCCACAGACTTACTGTGTATCCGTGGCAACTCACAAAGGTCTGAACCCTAGTCTTTGGAGTATTTAATCTGTGTGATGGGGAAACTCCCTAAACAACCGCCTCAGCTTATTTCATGGGCTGAACAGAAAGTTAACCACACCAAATACAGGAAGCAGGCTTTGCCAACTCTTGCGATTTGATTGCGAGCCTTGAGATAGTTGGCGTTTTTCTTAAAAGCTCCAGCTCCTGGAGCCGTTACTTATGGAGAATCGTATCTTTGCTTTTTTTAAATGCTACTTATGGAGGAAGAGAAAAGCATAGGACTCTTAAGGGCTCAGAGACTAGAAAGCACAAAGCTCTCACAATAAAGAAACACAAAAATCAAGCCAATCTTATGATGTGTGGAATCTGATGCATGATTTTGGAACGCTTGCCAATACTGCATTGCTAAAGAGAAATGTGTGGTCCTTGACTTCTTCCTCTCACTGCAACCACATTCCATTGATATAGAAGTTCGAAAGACGTGTTGAATGAGGTTTTTTTTTCAGGACAGTTAACTATTCAGAGAACTGACCAAACCCAAATCTACTGCTTAGTGGTCTAATTAGGAAGCAAGGTAACATTGCCATAGTTTATATATGCATACAAAGCATGCTGCTTTCAGGCAACACTGAGCAGCATTATACAAAGCTTATTTCTGGAAGATGATCCCAGGGATGGAGAATTACCCTGACCCTGTATTACAGTGGGAAGAGGACTAGTGTAGCTCAGCGGTGAACTTACAGCACAATGAAGGGGATCAGGAAGATCCTGATAATTCACCTACCAGTTAGATGCGGGCACCACTAACTATATGGATTGCGCCAAGCTCCATGCAGCCAATCCCAGCACTTGTAAGAAAACCTGGGACTCAACCAAATGCAGCTCTGCTCAGGAGGAGCACAACCATTGGCTGACAGTTGCCATGGTATTACTCAGACTATGACTCATGGGCTTGGTTCTGTCTAGAGCTAGCCCCTTATGTTTGGGAAGCAATTTGGAGATAGGTGCAGGGTTGTAGGACATTTAAAATGACATTTTCCTGACTACAGCTGAGCTCACAATTTGTGACAAAAAATTAAGCAGATGATTTTTATCCTTTATCCGACTGTGGATAATCCGTGATGGCCTTTTAACAGTTTTCTTAAAACACTTCAACAAAAATTAGTTTCGATTGATCAGATAAGGTGGGGGCCTCATTTCTGTTCTCTAATTGAATGAATGCACATGATTTTTTCAGTACTGAAGGCAACAGGGCTGCACAGCTGTCTAACGGGACTAGTGGAGCCTAACAAACGATGCAAATGAAGAAAAGAGCCGAAACGTGACTGTAAGGTCCTGGTGTCCATGTTTTGGGCTAGCACATACAGAACATATATTTTAAATGTAACTTTCTTAACCGAGAACATTTGACTTGGAGTCACTGAGAAACAACAAATAGGGAGCCAATTATTTTGTTGTGATTTTTCAACATAGTGATGGATAGTGTTAAGAGCTCAGTGTAATTAATACTAATGCCCAGCCTACTAATTGCAAGGTGCAGAATAGATCAGAAACATCCTGGGATGTTGCCAACTGATATCTGTAACACTCTGATAATTTTCCACCCACACCTTCCTTCTGCTAGCTTGAGATGATTTTGGAAGAGTGGGTAGCACCATCTGCTTTCGATGGAAGCTGACTCAAAGCTGTGGTAAGATAAACAGTAACAGAGAGGCGCTGTGTGTAAGTGCCTAACAAGTTTCATTGCTGGGGAAGCCATTTCTTCCACCTCATATGGAAAAAATATAGCTTCACCTGACAGCATTAGTTATTAGCCCAACAACTTTCTTTGACAGGGCAAGAAGCCTTGCGGCTGAAGTTGGGGGGAAGTGGCAGATGTGGTATGTCTTGACTTTTGTGAGGCTTTTGGTACTGTCTCACCTAAACACACTTGGCAAATACAACCTAAATCGGGGTAGGCAAACTAAGGCCCACAGGGCTGCAGCCAGCCCATCAGACCTTTAATTTGGCCCTGAAGATCTTGCTGGGGAGCGGAGTCAGGGGCTTGCCCTGCTCTGGCAAGTGAGGTTGGGGGTTTGCAACACACCACACGTGTTGTGGCTTCGCTTAGTTCCCAGAAGCAGCAGCATGTCGCTCCTCCAGCTCCCGTGAACAGAGACAGCCAGAGGGCACCATACGCTGCCCCAGCCCTAAATGATGGTTCTGCAGCTTCTACTGGCTGGGAACCCTGGCCAACGAGGGTGGAAGGGGCAGCACTTGTGGATGGGGCAGGGCACAGAGCTACCTGGTCGCACGTCTGCAGAGGAACCTGAGGGGAACGTGTTGCTTCTTCTGGGAGCTGCATCAACCAAAACCTGCACCTCTGACCCCCTCTCTCATTCCAACCCCTGCCCCAATACTCTTCCTGCCCTCTGAAACTCTCAGTCCCAGTGTGCAGCACCCTCCTGAACCCAACCCCCCACTTCAGAGCCCACCCCCTCCAGCTGGAGCCCTCACCTCTCTGTACCTCAGCCCCCGATTTTGTGAGCATTCATGGCCTGCCATACAATTTCCATACCAAGATGTGGCCCTCAGGGCAAGACGTTTGCCCACTCCTGATCTAGAGGGAGCGTCTATACATGGGTGCATAGCTGGCTGGAAAACTGTTACCAAAGAGTAGTGATCCACGCTTCACAGACCAGCTGGAAAGGCAGATCAATATTTTTAGTTCAGGTCTGTTCCATATTTTCATCCATGATCGGATAATCGTGTGTTACAATGAATGAGGCACCTCCTGCCAACAACGGTTAATCCATGGGCGAGTAAAGTGTTTTATGGCTCACCTGATTACTCTAACAAGATCATGGAAGGCTTTGTCAACATTCAAAGGCGGGTCCTTGGCACTAGTTTCTATGTATGGAATCTGAAAGATAAAAGCCCAGCACCATAAATACTAGTAACATTTTGCTGGTGGACAATGAACCTCTCTCAAGTGACAACCCAAGGAACTAGAGCAAATTGGATGCAAACCAAAGGGTGGTGATATAATGACTAGCACAGAAGAACTGTACTGAACATATTTAGGGACACTTTCAAATAGTCTCTTAGGCTATGTCTAGACTGCAAGCCTCTTTCGAAAGAGGCTCTTTCGAAAGATACTTTGGAAAGAGCCTCTTTCGAAAGAGAGCGTCTAGATTGCACGTTGAACTTTCGAAAAAGCGGCTTGCTTTTTCGAAAGAAAGCATCCAGTGAGTCTGGATGCTCTCTTTTGAAGAAGCCCTATTTACATTGAAGAATGCCTTCTTTCGAAAGAGGAACTTTCGAAAGAAGGCGTTCTTCCTCGTGAAATGAGGTTTACCGCCATCGAAAGAAAAGCCGCGTTCTTTCGATTTAATTTCGAAAGAACGCGGCTTGAGTCTGGACGCAGGGGAAGTTTTTTCGGAAAAAGGCTACTTTTCCCGAAAAAACCCCTGAGTCTGGACACAGCCTTAGAGCAGCAGACTGTTTAATAAGGGTGCTCTGAACCATGGCATTCATAGCACAGAATCATGCATCTTGGGATATCTCAAAGCCCTTTGCCAACAAATGGTCTAAACCAGTGTTTCTCAACCTTTTATTTTTTTATAAAGTACTCTCTTTTTAAAAAAATGATAAGCACCCGCAGTACCTACAGTTTTCAGACACACAATTTTTTTCCTACCATTGCAACACATTCATTTAAATTACTTAATTGTAGCCAGGCAGGCGATGACATTTTTGAGTGTAAAAAGTACAACAATAATAAAGTGCTGTAAAACTTAAAACAAAAATTCAGTTTTCTCCAAATTTCAGTTGTGTTGACGTACCCTCCAGACTTCTCTCGAGTATCCTAAGGGTACTTGTACCACTGGTTGAGAAACACAGGTCTAAATCACTATGGGCGAAATCCTGTTCCCATTGAAGTCAATGAGATTTTGCTATTGGTTTCAATGGAGCCAAGATTTCATCTTACATAGAGAGGTCACTTCACTCAACATTGAAATGAACAAGAGGCAGAATGTAGCCTTTGGGGAACAATGCACAGCTGTGCTGTACTGGAGTTTGGGGTACAAAAAGAAAGTTATATCCAAATGAGACTGCCTGGAGAAAGGCAGGTAAGTGAAATGTTGCCATGACATCAAGGTGAATTTGTAGAGTGGACAGAAAATTCTTACCAAAGATCATAGAATCATAGAGCTGGAAGAGACTTCAGGAGGTGATCAAGTCCAGCCCCCTGCCCAAGTCAGGACCAATCCCAACTAAGATCACCCCAGCCTACAAAATATGCAGCATACAAAACAGCTAGAAGTCTAAAGTTCCAAATTTGGGGGAAGTAATTGCAGTGGTTATTATGAGGGATGTTCTTTCCCCCTGGGATGTACCTGAGGATATGAAGACTACATTTACAAAAACAAACTATGCGAGAAGTTTGCTGGAGAACAAACACTTGCTAAACATACCTTCCCGTTACACTACATTTTAAGGTCCTTGAAGGGTGATTTCTACAATTATCCTTCAGATTTCGAAAAACTTCTGTTCAGATGATAGAGAAGGTCATTTTCCATTGGTACCCAAGTGAACTTTTTGGTTACGTGTAGTTGACATACCCAGTGAAGAGCTACATTTGTAAACTTGACTGCTGATATCCCATGTGAAAATTCTGCATTTGCACATGCAGCACCTTCTATGCTACTGAAACAACATAATTCACAGCTATGTACTGGGTTGTTGTTTAGGTTGTCTGGCTCGCTACTCTTCCACAAAAGCTTCTTTACAGGACTGGGAGTAAATATACCTTGAATAATTCACATGATATTATCTTTAAAAGTCCTTTGGGATGCAGCAAGTTCCATTAAGTCTTTTTCCATGCCTGGGAGCATTTAGAAGTGATTAACCTAGTATAACAGTGATTATCATCTTACTTGGGAGCCATTTCTGGAGCCAAACTGCAGTATGAATAATAGGGAGTTGACAAGTTGGTTCTGGTTTACATGAGTTTTACACTCATGTGATTCCATTATCGTTAATGGACTTTCTCCTGATGGACAACAGACGGAACTCAGAATTAGGGCCTGTGCATCTACTAACGACTTTTTTTGCATTTTCATGTGAAGAGTGCATTCTGTCCATCTTGTATGCACATTCGTCCCACCTGCACAGAACTTGCATTACCTGACTTTATGGTACGTGTGCACCATAGATTTAGCCATGTGGGTCCCAAGATAATAGAGAGGTAATATATTTTGTTGGACCAACTTCTGATGGTGAAAGAGACAAGCTTTTGAGAAGCTGGGGGTTCCTCTCCCAGACTTGAGGAAGAGCTTGTCTCTCTCAGCGACAGAAATTGCTCCAATAAAAGATATCTCACCCACCTTATCGCTCTAATGACTTTATGATCATCATAGCTCTGCTATAGTATGGCGTACAAAACTGGTACTGCTTCAGCCATGTACCGGCCTCACTGGAAATTACCTCTCTCTATATTACAGGTTGAACTTCTCTAGTCCAACACCCTTGGGACCTCACTAGAGCTGAACCACAGAATTTTCCAGGTCATGGGAGGTCAATATTGTCTAGCAGCATTACCAACACTTCTACTGCTTACTGTCTTAGAAGACATTTAGGGGTAAATTAGAGCTAAATAACAGTGCAGAACACTGAAAACCAGGACTGGTGGCTGTAAACAAATTTTATGGGACTGTGGGAAACATGGCCACACCCATGATAATCAGCTATCCAGCTAGCTAAAATCATGCTGGACCACGGATGTGCCGGACTAGAGAGTTTCAGCCTGTACTTTCTTTGCTTTTTATTTGAAAATGTAATTGCTATTGTTTAATTATAAAATAAGTGATCCAATTAAACTCCAAATGCAAAATGAAACTCATTCCAAATGCCTGTAGTGAAAATTAAAATCAGAGTCAAAACAACATGCAAAAACCTCAAAACAAACCAAAAAAACCCACTCCACCCACAAACTTACGTTATGTTTAGTTGCCATTTCTCTTCCTTGTTCCCTAGTGATTTTCCGCAAATGCATTAGATCAACTTTGTTGGCCACCAATATCATTGGAAAAGACTCTCTGGAAAAAAGCAATTAGGAGATTTTCAGTGTTAAGGGTTTAGGGTCAGCTTCCTTTTCAAATACTATCACCATCTTGCGTTTTCAGGCAGAAAGAAGCACCATGTAGGCATTTAGCAACTTACTTATAATTAGGCTCAGAAGAATTAGATATTTTATTAGTAAATGTTTGTAAATGTCATTGTCAATGTACCCACAAACCCAATGAAAAACACTTTATTACTTTGTCTGTATAGTTTGCTTACTATAAATGAAACATAATGCCTGAGAATGTATTAGTGTCAAAATCCTATGAAGGTGTAGGTTTGTCATATCCAAGGCTTCTATAACAAAAATTGGGCTAACTCCTGACCTGCTGTAAATCAGCATAGTTCCCCTGAAGTCAACAAAACTATGCCAGTTTAGTCCAACAGAGGATCTGGCCATATGCCTTTTAAATCTGGCCCCCTGAATAATCACGATCTGTCATTAATGCTAGTATTCTACTGAGCTAGATTCTCCTGTGAATTTTTACCCATTAGGCCCCATGTACATCCAATTAAGTGTAGTTATTGAATGGGGTTTAACTAGTTTTGAAACTGTTAAATAAGATGAAATGGCTTTTACTATTTTACAATTTTAAATTGATTTTACAATCAATTTTACAATTGATTTTCCTTATTTCTTTAGGAAAAACAAAATATCACATCAGCTTTTTTCCCCTTTACTTTCTAAAATTATGATTTCTATATTATTTGCTATGATTTCTATATTATTTGCTATGACAGAACCATAAGGTTTGCCTTGACAAGTAGCCAATCTTACTTATTTGTATACAACTTTTGATGGGTGTTACTTTCAGTTCACATGAATGTTCAGACTTACTTTCCATATTTTGTTTTTTTCAATGAGACAGAGATGGACTCAATCTTTTCTCTGGAATATTGCTTCATAACTGTGGCTGGAGGTGCATTGTACGCAGCTCTTTGAATTTTCATTTACTCTTATAGTTAATTATGATAATATGGATTTAATTTACTTCAGAGTGATAATGAATATTGATTCTATGTGTATACTGGAGTAAATGCTTTGCTCTTTTTGATGATTCAATTTTCCTCTGGTTTGTAGCACAGCGGTAGAAACAGAATAAATTTGGACAGTATGTAATTTGCCTTGTTTACGTCAGAAATAAAACTCTGGATATTGTTCCCTGTAGTGAGTTGTATGATTGCTACTTGAACAAGGCAAATACATTTAACTGTTGTAGCGTCAGTAGCTGTAATGAAAAAGCACCGTCTTCTAAATAACTCTAGAGAGAAACCATAACTAGTTTGGATTTCAAATCTCCAAATGCTTAAGGGGACATACGATTCTTAAGATGAAGATACAACCAAATTCTGTTGTCATTCACTCTGATGTGAAGCTAGAGTGACGGCTGGACACAGTGTAGAATCCAGTGCCATGTTGGATGAAACACTTTTCTCGTGCTGCTAATAGAACCTGGGCCTTTTCAAATGATTCAAGATTTTTAAATAAGCAAAATTTACTCTTCATCATTTGACTGTTTGTTTAGGTTTTGCGCTTCACTCAGATTGGACTGGGCAAGACGAACATGTTTCTTTCTCGTCAATTTCACTTCCCATTTCTCATAGGCAGCCTGTTGTGTTTGGGTTTACAGTACCCCTGAAGGGAGGAGAAAGTTTCTTACCAAAAACAAGAGGGTGATCCATTTTCAATGAATTTTATTAGCTAAAACTCATGTCTAATCATAATAGAAACAAAGTTTCATTCTCTCTCAATTTACAAAGGCTTCACTGTTGACCTATCTTAGGCCCAGAATTTAAGAGAATGTGGCAGACATGGAGAAAATCCCATTTCTCTGTCTAGGAGGCAAATAAAAATGATTGGTATTTATGTTTATCTAGATGCAGTAAAAATACTTTCATTTCCTACTCTCGTGGACACTTCAGTGGAAAAGCATTCCAGCCATAAACCTCCCATGATATGAGTCCACTCCTCCTTTCGGGGAGTTATTCAGAGCCGAAAAGAAGCCAGCCACAAGGATTGAATCCTCTGGAACCTGCTCTTGAATTCTCTCTTGTTTAAAAAAACCATGATGAATGGAAAAATTAAGTGCTTTAAAGCTGCAGGGATGCATGAACTAGAGTCACACTCCACCCCGTGAAAATTAAAAAAAACACCCTGGTGCACTAGAATGGAGAAGAGGGAATTATTAAAAGATGAAAAGACTCTATGAGCTTCCTCTTTGATCTTTCTGAAGTACTGGTTAACCGCTGGTTTAGACCTCTAATACTGCCTTATCTTTTGTATTCACCTCTATGTAAATCTTCATCAAACAGACATTTAAATGCAAACACACAGAGGTATTGTTCATTGAAAAAGAATGCCACCTAGATCTCAGAACTTCCCATCTATAGATCTCAAAGCACTTGACAAAACGGGTAAGTTACTTGATCCCATTTTATGGATCTGGAAACTGAGGCACAGAAAGGGAAATGACTTGCCCAAGCTCACCCAGCAACCAATGGCAAAGACAGGTCTAACTATGCTCTAGCTGTGGGACCATAATGCCTCCCCAACCGCAGTGCTTTGTGTTTAAGGGAGCTCTTCCCTCCAGTGCACTCACCTGTCTTTGACTCGGAGGATCAGCTGGTGGAACCTGTCCACGTGTTCAAAGCTGGCTTTGTCTGTGACAGAATAGACGATAAGGAACCCGTCCCCCGTCCGCATGTATTGCTCGCGCATAGCGCTGAACTCCTCTTGCCCTGCAGTGTCTAGAACTAGCAAAGGGGCGGGGGAAGGAAGGGGAGAAAAGTGTTAGTCATTTTGCCATCTCTAATCTACATTACAGCTTTCTTCACATTTCCACCTTCACTGAGACGACTCTCCGTAACTGACAGCTGCCAATTCAGGCTACCAGTTTGCTTCCTGGGTAAAAATCAGGTAGCAGGGGTGGTTGTGATCAGAGAATATTCCTAGCCATATGAGCTAGTGGAGGGAGAAGTACTATCTTCCCTTCATTGTATCGTCTCCTTCTCTACACCCGCCATCCCCACACAGGACCAGGTGACTTCCACCTTCCTCCAAAGCATTCAGCATCGGTCTCTGCCACAAGCTGGATTCTGAGTTCGGTGCATCAGCACTCTGGCTAGTCCTGACTAACATGTTTTAATCCTCATCCTTTCTGTCTCGCAACCCTTGCTGTTCCCCACTCAGGAAAGCCCATGTCTAGGAAGGGAGAGAGAGGCCAGTGCCGAAGACACTGCTACTCCCTAGACCAGCGGTCCAGGTGGAGGCGGGACACACGTTGGAAGAACTAGGGATTCCTACCCATCCTGGCTAATAGACATTGATGGTCCTAACCTCCATGAATCCATCTACAGTAAAACCTGTGTAAACCGGCATGCTTGGGGATTAGGGTGTTCCCGTTATCTAAAAATTCCAGTTATCTGAGGGTCCTATTAACCTAGGAAAAGCCAATGGACAATGATAGTAAAACTCAAGTTTTTAATATTGGTAGTTTTGTGGCGTGAGGTACTTGGTCCCACATTTCTATTTTGAGTTAAAGATGATTAGTACTTTTTAAATAAAAAATTAAGCCAATCATGGTAAACCAAGCAAGGGCTGTGTGCCTGAAGATGTGACAGTATTGTGGCTGGGGGCAGTGACGGTAAACAAAGTTTTCTGATTAACAGAGTGCCGGATAAGAAAGGTTTCACTGTAGCTCTTTTTTGAACCCTGTAAAAGTCCTAGCCTTCACCACATCCTCTGGCAAGGAGTTCCACAGGTTGACTGTGCACTGAGTGAAGAAAAACTTCCTTTTGTTTGTTTTAAACTTGCTGCCTATTAATTTAATTTGGTGATCCCTAGTTCTTATATTGTAGGAATAAGTAAATAACTTTTCTTTATTCACTTTTTCCACACCAGGCATGATTTTATAGACCTCTAGCATATCCCCACATAGTGTCCTCTTTTCTAAGATTAAAAGCCCCGTCTTTTTAATCTCTCTTCCTATGGGACCTATTCCAAAGCCCTAATCATTTTTTGTTGCCCTTTTCTGTGGACTTCTAGAGGATAAGCACAGTGGAGCTGCTTTATTCCTGGTGCTTCCTGCAGAGTCAGCACCAGTAGCCAGCCATGCCAGCCTGCCAAACATACCACAAGGAGAAGTGGACTCCGCTATCTGCCTCTGCATGTTAGGCCTCCCTCGTAAAGGAAAGTGACTGGTCATAGCGTAACCTGCACACCTACTGGGGGTGGTGCACTGTCCCATGCAGTGCTACTGAGAGAGAATGAGTTTGCTCTACAGCAGGAGTGGGCAATCATTTTTTGCAGGGGGCTACGTCATGAATTTTGGCAATGGTCATGGGCTGGCCCCCCTGGAAGAGGTGGGGCCTCAGGTGGAAAGGGGCTATTCCCTCTAGGCATGGCTAGCCCTTGGCAGGAGAGGGACACTTGGTGCGCTCCCCCACCCCCAGGCCAATCAGGGCCTGGGGTAGGGAGAACGCACAAAGTCTCTGGCCCCCGGCCCCACCCTGGCAGGGGTGTACAATGCCTAGAGGGAACCTCCAGTCATTTTGAACAGCTGGCGGTTCATTCTAGGCACCGTACACCTCTGGCTGGGGGAGGGAGCTGCCAGCTGGGGGCCAATTTCAGTTCCTTGGACTGTGAGATAGAGCCAAGAAAATGGGGACTGGGAGGGAGGAAGAGGGGGTGAGAATCTTCATCCCTCCTCTCTTTCCTTGTACACATCAGTGAAGGACCAGCTACAGCTGGATGGCGTATGGGGGGGCAGATTCCACATAGGGAATGTGGTGCCACAAGTCCACTCTCCCCCTACCCCCTCAGCCTCACTCTCTGGTAGGGTAGGAACAAGTTGTACCCTGGAGCCACCCTCCACTGCAGCCCCTGCCCTGGTGTCCTGGGGAGAATTCTGGCGGATTCAGCTAAAATCCCTCCCCCGGCCTCTCCTGGCAGCATGGCTCTCTACCCTCTCTGCCCATGGCTTCGTTCGCTGCCCTCACATTGAAGGCTGCCTTCAGCCTATGGCTGTTCCTGTGGCATTCCTCGGCCCGTCTGGTGACTGCTGTGCTGTCAGTCGTCTGTCTCACTCCTGACTTACAGCATACGCTGGTCCGGCCGGGATGCCTTGTGTCTTGGTCTCTCTCACACACCAGCCTGCAAACTAGCCTTGTTAGAGCAATATTTTCCTTGGCCTCTCGGATCTCCAGCCACCTTCCATGAGACATGTAAACATTTCTGCAGCCTCCCCTCCCCCTTCTTCCCCTTCGCTCGTTAGATGTGGAATCAGCGAGCATTACTGACCCCAGTTTCTGCTCCCCCGGGGCAGCATGGAACGCCAGACTCTGACACCGCCGTGCTGGGCTCCTGCCTCTCCTGTCTCCCTTGGCTCATTGCCACTGCCTCATAACAAGCGGCGACGGAGTTGCCGGGTCAGCCGCTTCCAGTGCAAGGGCTTTGGGTTGTGGTGCTCCTAGAAAGGTGACTGCGTGTTCCAATTGTAGAACAGCCCCTGGGGCCAGCCTAAAACATCTGTGGGGCCCCTGCACCCTGTGGAAATGGAGGCCTCCCCCATCTTGACTCAGTTTGGACCAGCTGAGCCTCTGTCACAGGGCAACCAGGCCAAACCTGAGCGGTACGGTGACCCCAGGTACCAGATTGCAACACCACTCACTCAAATTTGGGGTCAGAGCGCTGCTCGGGGTGGCCTGTCGTATGGGCAGTGTGCCCTCTAATTTTTCCCACTCCTGAGCAGAATGGATTTTGCGCCGTGCACCAGGGGAGGTGCTGCGGGACACGGAGGTGATGCGCAGACACATCTTCATAGTGGTGGCACCTAATACAATCCACGTGGCGGGGGTGGGGCCAAGGGGTTTGCATTCTGGGAAGGGGCTCCGGCATGGGGCAGAGGGTTGGGGCACAAGGCTATGAGGTCTCAAGCTGTGGGGTGGAGCCATGAGTGAGGGGGGCTCAGGGACGGCCCGGAGGGGCGGGGCGGGGGGGGA